TCTCGCAAGGGGAGTTATGCTTCTCCATCTTTCTATTGTGTTCTTCCTCAACACTCAAATACTTCTTTGCTTTATGGGAGAAATAGACATACCAGCGAGGAATAGACATACCAGTGAGGTGAAGTCAGAAGGAGAAAATTACTTCATAAGTAGAATGTTTCTGTATTTCTCACAATTTATCTACGTGACTAAACTTTGAGAATATGCCGTGTTCATCTTGGGCCCATTTTAATGGGGTTTTAGTTATGCAAAAATCTCCAATTTAAAAATACTCTGTCCCTTTGGAGGTAAGTTAGAATGTTTTGACCCTAAGGGAGTCACTAAAAAGGGGCTCCAGTAAGAAAGAACAGTTCCGTGAAGCAGTAAGTCTGATTCCAAAGGCTACACCTGTGTGTACATTCGTTGCCATGGGCATGTTCGGTTTTAGTATTTACCAACCTCTAAGTGTCCTGGTTTAAACATTTTTTTATTCTTTTTTGGGGGGCGGGCGGGAGCAAAAGTGCTGTTTACCAGCTTTTATGCTCACCAAACTTCCTTGCCTCGCTTCCAAGGAATTGTCACATTATTTAGTCTTTCAAGATCACGAAGGCAGCCCTTGCGAGAGTAATGCACATCACGTGTGCCTTCACTTTTCAAGCAAAGGAATTATTTTCTGCTTAAAAAATTTTCCACATTTGTCTCTTTCTATCACGATCATGTGCAAGAAGGATGAGTGGTGAAAAATATCACAAGCCTGTACGCCTGGAAAAAATTAGAAAAGTTTAAATTGACATTTTTATCCTTGAGTATGTTAGCTTCCTTTCTGGGGAGGGGGGCTCAAGATGAATAGAGACTTGATTTTCTATTTTTAACATATTTACTTTATCGTTTTAAGCAGTGTCTGATTTTTATATGTTCCATTAGTGTTTGGAAATTCTGCCCAACCCAATTTCCTTAAATGGGACTTCAGAACATGCCTTGTGCATTTTTCTCATACTTCAGCGTAATTTACTAGCGCAGTTGTGGTAAATCTAGATAAGAGTAAGTCTTTAGTAATTTTATCACAATTTTCTGTGGCCCTGAGTATATAATTACTTTTATTTTCACCTCCAAAATAAATTTTCTCTCTAGGAGACTTGGATCAAAGGATCACCGGGGAAAGGAACCACATCTAAGTTCATTGTGAGACAGGCATTTTCTTCCAAAAACATCACTTTGGGGGAAAACCAAACAAAATTATGGTAGTTTGATTGCCCGTAGTAAACTTGAGCCTCTTAGGAGGAGTTAGGGAACGGGAAAGAATGCATCCGATTCCACGCTGTGATCAGTTCAGTTTTTCTCTTCTGTTTTTTGGTTTTCCTGTGTCTGTTGGCTACCGACCTTTGGACTGCAAATTTTTACAGGCTTATGGTTTTTACTAATAGGCCCGATGTACATAGTTCAGTATCCTGAATCTGCATCTCTTTCCTAAAATTTTCAGCTGATTATTTAACTCTGCGCAGTCCTCGATTTGTCGAATTCCTAGAAATCCCTAATATTTTTGGACTACAGTATCTGGGATTTTTAGAAGACGATTGCATGATCTTTACTTCATTGTATGACTTCTTGGTAGGAATCTGTAGACTCTGTCTGATCGGAAAGCCTACTCAACCACTGCTATTTAAGTCTCTTAGTTCCTTAAAGCTTTTCTGAAATTCTCATGACAGAGATGAGTGAGCCAACAATTTCCTGAGATTTATGGGGGGAAGTTGAAGTCTCATTGTACTGGACTTAGAGGTAAGGTTGGCTTTACGAGGAGGTGAAGAAGCTGGCTACCCACCTGGTGCCCTTCTGACGTGCAGGAAGGCTCTGCTGTCCTTAGTCAGGCTTCTTCCACCTGGAATCACTCGGGCCTGGAAGTCTGTGGTTAGATAATAATTTGACTAAATGCATTATCCTCTCCGAAATGTAAAATAGCACAGAATATCATAGTGGGAAGAAACTTCAATCTAGTACTGGTATATATGAAGCCTTTTCAGAAATAGATGTGTTCATTTTTTTTTTTCTTGAAAATAACATTGTATGCGGAGGCAAGTAGAAGATACCAGGCCTACTGGTGTAGGAGTAAAAGCAAGGGAGTGGAGGATTTGGGCCCCAAAAGCAATTCCATTATGTCACAATTTTGTCTGAGTCCCCAGAATCAAGAAGTTTATCATACTAAATTGGGTGGACTAAAGACCAGGTAACTTATACATTCTTACCATACCCTGCAAAACTTAAGTCATGTTAAATTTGTTTCAATGGTGCAGGCCATTTTTCTGTAAACCATGGATACTGTTATCAGTTTCTCCCAAAAACACAATGTTACTTTCAAGGATTTGTTTTCTTTTTTTATCTATGGCTCTAGTAAAACATTTTCTTAAACTTTAAGATTTTTAGCATCTGGCCTCACCAACAACTACAGGACTTATTTCAGAGCAGCTCAGGGATGAGTTGGGTTTGGTAGGTTACAAAGGAGAGCAGCTGGCAGAAAGCTAAACTAATTGATAGGAATCTGATAACAGTGAGGGTGGTCTTTGAGGACTTAGGGCACCTTGAATTATAAGCGAAGCCTAAGAAAAGCTTTCTGAGCTGGGTAAAGACCAATGAAGACACTAAAGTCTTTTTCTAGCTATAGAAATACCCCGTTTCCCCGAAAATAAGACAGTGTCTTATATTAACTTTTTCTCCCAAAGTTGCGCTAGGTCTTATTTTCGGAGGATGTCTTATTTTGGGGGAAATACGGTAGAAACAGGCAGTTTTTGTGTCACTTCAAAACAAATTTTTTAAAGCACCCAAATGCTTTACTTAGCGTGGAGGTAAGATGTTGACCCATAAAGATGATTGTCTTAAATCTCTGATCATGCACCAATAATTTAAACTCCACTCACCTTCTGTCTGATTCATTCTCCCATTGAGCCTCCAGCACAGTCCTTGTTCTGATCACTCAGTGGTGAGCCTTCCCTTGATCAGCAATGAACCAGCACCATCCGGAGGGAGAGCGCACAGAGTCCTCCATCCCAGGGTTTTAGGGGCAGAGATTAAAGGGGAGGGACCAGGGAAAGATCTCAATAGCCCAGTGGTTCTCAACCTTTCTAATGCCCCGAGCCTTTAATACAGCTCCTCGTGTTGTGATGACCCCCAACCATAAAATTAGTTTCGTTGCTACTTCATAACGGTCATTTTGCTACTGTTAATGAATCGTAATGTAAATATCTGTGTTTTCCGATAGGCTACCCTGCTAGTGTTGGGAACCACTGAGACCATCGGAAAACAGATATTTACATTACGATTCATTAACAGTAGCAAAATGACCGTTATGAAGTAGCAACGAAACTAATTTTATGGTTGGGGGTCATGACCTTAGAAAGGTTGAGAACCACTGTCAGCCTATTCAGTAGCTTTTCAGGTGCGTCCATGCAGCGTTTTGGTCTCCACTGATTGATTGGCAGCACTAGGGCAGGGGGTCGTTACTCAGTGCAGCTGGGCCTGGAGCTGGACTACAACTGAGGCCTAGAGGTTATCTCCATGGAGGAAAGGTCAGGGGGCCCAAACCACGGTAGGCTTGGGAAGGAGAAGTCAAGGTCCCACCCTGTAACTGGTTCTCCTTGTTAGGCGCCTGGGCTTTCCATCCTGGTGATCTTCTGGCCCTGGCCCATCAGCCTTGCTCTGCTTCATGTCTGTGTAACTGCCTACAGCACAACCAACTGAGCCACCAGGACAAGCGGGGGAAACCATGTTTTATACAAAAAGCAAAGCCTGAAGAAGGATTGTGTTAGGGGGAGGGGAGGGGTTGATAAAGTTGAGCCTTAATATCTCCCTTCCTATCAAGTCCTCTTAGCCAAATCGTCGGCATGGTAATGAGGAGCGTAACCTGCAGCCTGGAAAAGGAAATCAGCGCGGCCATGCCCCCAGTGGTCACCATGAGCACTGTCATCCACTGCCCTGTGGTTTGGGGTCTTCCTGGTCCTTTACGCCTGCTATTAAGTTAGCTTATCACCTCTTTCTTCAGTGGAAGTGCATCTGTCTACTGGAACTTAGGCAGGTCGATTTCACTGAAACTTTTTTCATTTTTAAATTTTCTTTTTTGATTAAGGCATTACATATGTGTCGTTATCCCCGCCTTGGAATTTGATCGCTAATTATTTTTTGTGAACGTGGTAATTACCAGCCTGTTTGAGAGGAGAGTGGGTCTGCCTTCCCAGTGGTAGAATGAAAACTGGTTAAGTCCTGACCAGTTTGGCTCAGGGGGTAGAGCGTAAGCCTGAGGACTCAAGGGTCCAAGGTTTGATCCCGGTCAAGGGCATGTACCTTGGTTGTGGGCACATCTCCAGTAAGGAGTGTGCAGGAGGCAGCTGATCGATGTTTCTAACTCTTCCCTTTCTCTCTTAAAAAAAAAAAAATAATAATAAAAATTAAAAAATATATATTTTTGCCGAAACCGGTTTGGCTCAGCGGTAGAGTGTTGGTCTGCGGACTGAAAGGTCCCAGGTTCGATTCCGGTCAGGGGCATGTACATTGGTTGCAGGCACATCCTCGGCAGGGGGTGTGCAGGAGGTAGCTGGTCGATGTTTCTCTCTCATTGACGTTTCTAGCTCTCTATCTCTCTCCCTTCCTCTCTGTAAAAAATCAATAAAATATATTTTTAAAAAATATTTTTTTAAATGGTTAAAATGAATAACTGAGTAGAAATCTTGCAAAGCTTACCAACAGGGAGATGTTCTTTCTCTCACCTTCCGTCTTCCATGCTATGAGAGAGCCTTTTTTTCTGGGTCCAACGTTGCTAACCTATGTAGATGTCATTCCTCTAGTTACGGCGGTGGATGGGGGTTAAAACGAATATAAGAAATGCGACAATCTCAGGACAGCTGGGGCAGGCAAATTTCTGAGCGTGTATAACAGGAACTCTGGGGATGTGGCCGCAGCTGAGCTCCGTTTAGGGTTAAGCCTCAGGCCCCCTGTGACCCCATGCACTGACGGCTCATCTCTGTTGTCGTTTTCAG